AAGCTGTAGAAAATCCCAGGAAATAAAGACGTGGGGCCTTACAGAGAAGGGCCCTAACCGTTTCTGCTCAAGAGGGATACAACCAGACCTCTGCTCCAGAAAAAGTAGTCACTGTTCCTCCTGCCGCGTTTAACTAAAGGCTTTCATTGTCTAACCCAGAGGTGACAGGCTCCAGACTAAATGAGCACTGTCTTCAGAGTGACCTGGCAATAGTGTGTAGGTATTGGGCAATATTGTACAGAGAATGGGCTAGAATAAGCAGAACCTGCTGACTTGATGGGATTTCAGAACATAAGTCAAGGACAGCAGTGAGAGCCAGCCATTCCCCAAACAGGCAAAGGGCCCAGGAACAAAACTCCTGTGTGTGTCATGGCCAGAGGCAAAGACAGGTTGTGTAACCTTGGCTGAGTCACCTCTTCTCCCTGCACCACAGTTACTGCATTGAAAAGATGAGCGAGTTGGGCTGCTTCAGAGCTTGGGGTTGCTCTGCAGAGCCTCCAAGGCAGCAAGGGAGAACAGAAGATACAACCATATCTGTGTGATCTGCGATCCCGCCCATACTCAGCCTCCCCATTTCAACCACAGCAGATCTGTTCTTATTTATTTCACAACTTGAAGTCCCACCTAAAATTTCACTGGGAAAAACAGATTCATAATCACTAGTGATGCTACTGTGCCCTTTGAGCCCTCAAAATTCACAATTCTCTTGTCTATGACAAGTTTTCGATATGATCTAGAACATGTGGAGAAGTCTGTTTCTGGTAAAAGGGCCCAAAGAAATGCAGCAGAAAGCAAACCTATGTTTTCACAGAGAGGCCAACCTCCTACACAGCGAGCATTATTCCACCATCTGTGGTAAGCCTGGGTTCCCGTGCACACCTGGAATGTGCTCTTTTCCTCCGGTACACCTGATGCATTAATCATGTGTCCTGACTGTTCTCCAGGCTTCCAAGACCAAGTTCAAGGGCAGACAAAGCCATTTACACTTTAATTCTCTAAAAAGTCATTACCATACAGCAAATGATATCATCAAGCACCGAACCAAGCTGAACCAAAATTTGTTGTCTCTTTCAGCACTGTGGTGGCACAAAGGGAAAATTCATGGCAGATTGTAAACAAGATGGAGAAAAAAATAAGGAGCAATGATATAGAAAAAGGAGACTCAGCACAGTCCTGCTTTGCCAACAGCTGAATAACTTGGAACTTTCCAGCCTCTGCCGCACTGAGAATCCTTCTAGCTCTCCAGGGTCAGCAAAGCCAAGCAACCAGGGCACAGGCCCTGAAGTCAGACTGTCTAGGTTCAAATCCTGGAAAAGTCAACTTAACCTCTGCACCTGTTTCTTTAACTTTTGTAAAGTATGGATAAGAAAGAGTAGGACCTACCTCACAAGGTCATTGGGGGACTAATGAGTTTACATACCTGAAGCACGAAGAACAATGCCTTGATCTGTGTGTGAGCTGCTATCTGTCATCCCTGTGATCCCTGAGCCTTGGCCCTGTTCTGGCTGCCGCCACCACTCTTGTGGCTGCCAGAGCCCTGTTTCACAGTTGACAGTTGTGCCTTGAGAGTGAAACCAGTCCCTGCTGCAACTTTCTCTTGATGACATACAGGGTTTTCTGACTTAGTGGATATGGGTATTTCTTCCACAACAAACCTCAGGGGAAAGTGCCAATTTCTACAGTAGACAAAAATGTGCAAACAGACAGATAAGACATTCAGCATACGTCCCACTCAGAATGAGGAAATGGTCTAAAAGGTAACCCACATCTCCTACTCTGTTGCCCCAACTCCTTTCAATTTATCTTTCCAAACCATGAAAACCTTATTTCAACAGTTTTTCATTAGAACCCAAAAGTCCATTGAAACCCATACATTAATAAAACAATTTTCAAATCATTGTCAATTTCAAGAGATTTAAAGCAGAACCTGATTTAATTTTTTTTAAAAAAAACTAACAAATCTTGGTAACCTGCCTTGAAATAAATAGCTGTTCTTCAATATCCAGCAAGGAGAAGTAAATAAATTAAAGCATATTCCATAAAGTATACAATGCTGTCATCTTTGAAACTCATTTTTTTAAAATAGTACATAACAACAGGAGGGAAGAGTTCACAATGTAACTTTGGTAATTAAAATTAAATTGCCAAGATTTTTATCTTTGATTAACAATGTATGCTTTATGTTTTAAAAAAAATTGTTAAGAAAAAAAAAACAAGAGAAAATACACCAAAAATGTTATAATAGTATTTCATCTCTAGAAGACCTTTTTATTTTTTTTTTTACTTCCCCAAATTTCTATCATAAGCATCCATTACTTTTATAATAATAAAAAATAAATAAGTACAACTGGGGAGGGCAAAATGGCTTTAGATAAATTTCAAAGTGTTTATTTAAAACTTGAAGACCAGCAAATAATTCTTGAAGAAATTACCCGGGCCACCAGTTTTGAAATCATAGATTTAGGAATCAGCAAATACATTTGGAGGCAGATATCACAGGGGCACAGAGCCTTTTCCTACCTCCAGGTGAGTTTCTGTCCCAGGGTGACATCCTTTTAGCCAGCCACACATCAAGGAAGAAGCCATCCAATTTCATCCCCCACTTCTTGATTCCTCTAAGGTTACAACTGACTGAATACTGTTAAGAACTTGCACACGACAGGATATCAAGAGCTGGGGAAAATTAACATAACTCACTCTGCCATGACTATCTCTTCTGCCATTACATATCACCCTAGGATTAAACAAACTAAAATTTCTTAGGAGTTGACATTCAGCATCTTATAGACACAACAGTCTCAGAGCTGCTGTTACAAACACTGGTAAAACTGCCTCTGCCTTCTAGTTCACCCCACATTCAGTTGCTACTTCAGGGCTTTAAAGTTCTCAGAAGCCCCTGGAAGAACTAACATGTACTCAATCATGGGCAGCTTCAGATCAGCTTTGTTCACTGAAAATTACTCTTCACGCAAAAGTGTCAAGCATATTTTAATGACCCTCATGTGTCTGTTTAAGCTGGATTGACAACCTTCAATAAAAATTGTGAAACCTTAATTCATCTCCTGACTGACCTCTGCCTGTTGGAGAGCAAGCTTTCAACTGCCTTAAAGGAAATTCTTTTCTATTTTATCACACAGGAGAGGAGCATACTGCACAGGAGACTAGCACACTCCATCATCCAAACAAGACTGTCCATAAAACATTACTAATGGATTCTAACATAACAGAGTTTGGTTATAAGAGACAGTGAATGCAAAGGAATAATGGATATCTGTTTTAAAATGCAAAGTTGCTCAGTAACTTCAACTGATCTTGGAAACTAATGCTCCTTTGAAGTTACAAATATAAACTCAGAAATTATTAGTATTCCTACAGACTTGCCCTTTCCAGAGAGGAAATTTAGGAGAGAGGAGAAATCTCCAGCTATAAATGAACCCGATCTTTTCCCAGGCTCCTCCCCTAGACACACAGCCATATTCCACAACACTGTCACATCAAAACTAAAGATGTTGGAAGATTTAGATGCAAAGTAAAACACTGTGGCATGCTGATACATTTTGAGTTACCCCAAACTCCACTCGGAAGCAGAGGTAGCTATGAAAACTGTACCATTATGGTATAAATAGATGGCCTTTCCCTACCTGCTTTTGTCACATATCACTTCTTAAATGTCAAAAATTAAAAATCCCAGAGATTTCTTTTGAGTCAGGCTGCCTACAATAATAATAAAAATCCTGCCAAAATATGAATAACAGAGACAGGAAGGAAACATGTCAAAATGCTTATAATTATGAGGGAAGGGTGATTTTTTAAAAATCTTCTATATTTACAGTAAATTAAGAAAACAGAAGTTTTTAATATGCATACCTTATTTTGAGAGGAGAGGTATAAGCTATACTACTTTGAAAGATTTTCCCTTTTCCAGTCATAGAATTTTAGCTCTTTCATGAAATTTTAGACTAATACAGTCTTTTCATAAATGAGGAGTTGGTTTCAGGGTAGGAAAGGATTTTCCCAGTTGAGGCAAAACAAGAAGGAATGTCTCCCAAGACCTGGTCCTGTGTTTTCCACTGTATCATCCTGCCCTTTCTCGCTCCAAAATGATGGGTTCCTTTTAGTTCGACCTTCTCAAGCCCATGGCATTGCAGATCATTAACTCAAAGTTAAGTTCTGGGCAACGTCCACCTGAAAGAAGTTTTTGGTAGATTTTTTGCTTGTTTGTGTTAAGTCAACACTTGGTTTCTTTGGAATGATCACAGGTTAAGTTGTGAAAGGTGTGTCAGAAACTGCAATTTAACCAGTTTCTCTCACATTAACCAAAGGTCAATAACTAAAAGGTACTGATTGATAGTTGGAGTATTTTGGATATTAATGCATCAAGATGCAGCTTAAAAGTCTTAACCAGGGCACTTGAAGGGCACTTTTATAATAGCTATTCTTAATTAGGCTCCATAACCTTGAGCTTGGGTGGAGTGGGGATAGGGTTTGCAAGCCCTGACATTCAACGCTGATTAGTTGGAGTCTGTCTCTAGATTCTAATCCACGCCTTCATTCAAGTCATCTACCAAAGCTGGCCCTCTACGCTATAAAGTGATAGAGATCATCTTTTTGTTGCCTAATTAAAAAAAAAAAAAGGCCAGAGTGCCTTAAATCAATGATTCTATCACGGCTATGTACGCTCCTCTGGAGACACCGCGAGAATTTCTACATATGGCAACCTGCTTTTGGTGCTGCCTCTGACCCTTCAGCGAGCGTTCCGCGCAGGGGCCATCATCAGAGCCAGGCGCCGGTCCAGGCTAGCTCCGAGCGTGGTCCTAGCGCGCCCTACAGACCCTGCCCCTGGGGCACGAGGGATGCCTGCGGCCGAGAGAACGCGGCCCCGGATCGGGTAGGGCCACCTCCACGCACCTGGGCTGGGCCTCCTACTGTGGGCCGGGCCGGTCCCCGCCGCCACGCCAACCAGGGGCCGGTCCCGCGGCTCACGTCCCTCGGATACGCGGTGCACCAGCCCCGCGCCCGCGCCACCAGCGGGAAGCGGCGAGCGGGCAACGCGGGCTCCAGCACAGGAAGCGGCGGCGAGAGGGGCGGCCTGGGAGCTCGGGCTGCCCTGGGAAGCGAGGCCGCAGCGCAGAGACCGGAAAGAGGAACGTCTCCCGGAGCGGCGAGCTGTTCTCGCGTCCCCGCCGCGCACCGCCTCTGAGGAGCGGCCCCGCGGTGCCACCTCAGCCCCGCGCCTCCGCCGAGACCCCGCACCGCAGCGGGAGCAGCTGCGGCTCCGCGCGGCGGGCGCACTCACCTCCTCCGCTACCCGGGCCGCTCCGCCGGCGGCTGTCACTGCAGTCCACTCCCAGCCCAGCGCCGGGTCCTGGTGCTATTTAAAGAGTCACCGCCGCCACTGCCCACTGGCTGCGCCCCCTCGGCTGCCGCGGCCGAACTAGGCGGCTGTGAGTGCGCGTGCCGCGCCCGCCCCGCCCCGCCCCGCCTCGCAAGCCCGGCCCCCTCCTCCAGGCCCCGCCCCCGCCGGGCGCGTGCGTTGCTAGCGGGTGGCGGGCAAAAGCGGCTGGAGTCACCCGAACTGCCCTCGGGTTTCACAACGGAATCTGAGGAAGGGCAAAGGGTAAATCGTAGCGCCCCAGCCCCAAAGGCCCGGAGACTGCGAGTCTGCGATGCCTTGAGGTGGGAGAGGTCTTTTTGCACCTTGCACGCTCAGCCACCTGCCCCACTGGCTTCTTGTAGTCCCCGGGGTTCTGCTCTGCGGATGTCTGGTGGTCCAAGAGTTTCCCTTTCCGTTTTTTCCTTGGGCACAGACTTTCGCGACCCCTTTTAGCAGGATTTCACCACCGTCCCCACCCTGAGTTTCGCCACAGTCCCTGGCAGGGAAGACCTGTGTGGACTTCCGCCATGTCCTAGACATGAAGCAACCCTGGACGATTCAGGCCCCAGGATAGTTAGAGCAAAAGAGATTAGGCATTGCTGAAGCATCACATTCACCTGCTGAGTTCTTGCCATGCAGTTTTGAGGGATTCTATGGGATGAACTTTGAGGGATTTTTTCAGACACCAACGCAATTGTTTTCAGGCTCACATCTCAAATGTTACTTTTCCTCTTGGTTCCTGAGGCCTGCCAGTATCTTTAAGCTCTAATAGTTGTCCAGTTACAGTGGTGTTTGCACCAAGCATTGGGCAGAGGTCTAGTACTGCTTTGAATTTGAGGGATGAGAAGAATTAGTGTTAAAATAAAGGCCTCTGGTGATAATGTAGGGACAAAGGAGGCCAGGCACTGAAGATAGCAGGAAACAGTTTTATTTGGCTGCAGCCAGGTTCAGAGGGTACAGCCTTTGCTGTAATCAATCAATCCCCTGAACCCCGAGTTCAGGGAGTTTCAGAACTTTATACCCAGCATGTAAGGGGAGGGGCTCAGAAGATCCCATTCTGCAGAAATTCACATAAAAGCAGCTTTTTCTTTCACTGTTCTGGGCAAGTTAACTCTTCAAGGACAACACCTAAGAAGGGGAGAGCTTCATCTCCCCTTTCTTTCCTCCCCCTACCAGTTGTTACCAAGGGCTCATTTGTAACTTATCTTAAAAACGTTGACATCTCTGTGAAGCCCAGCTCAAGGCCAGATGCCTTGTTTGCACATTTCTGGCTCTATACTGGATACGTTTGTGAAAAACTTGTAAGGGGGTGTCCAGCACCTGGAGTGCTTGTATCTTCTTGGCCAGTGGCCAAGTAAAGGGTGACATGAAAATAGGAAGTTTATATACATTGGACTCTTTTTCTGACAGTCCTAAAATCAGCCATGGTGAAGAGGGCTTTTCTGTGGAGAAAGGGGGTGCCACTTCAGTAACATACCCCTTATTGGATGCTTAATATCAGACACTGCACATGCATGACCCTATCTTCATCATAACCCTTTGAGATGGTCCTATCATCATTCCCCTTTTACAGAAGAGGAAATGGAGGCACAGAGGTTATATGTCAGTTGAGGGCAAGACTACACCTGGAACTCAAAATGGTCTGCCTCCAGAACATGCACATAACAATGGTGGGATTATACTGAGGTTTACACTGGTTAAAAACAGATGTGTTCTTTCTAGGCTCAAGCATATTCAAGTTGATTCCAGCAAATAATGGAAGGAGGAGAGGCACTGGGGATTGAACCCTGGGGTGCTTTATCAATGAGCCATATCCCTGGCTTTTTAAAATTTTTATACAGGATCTCACTAAGTTGCTGACGTTGGCCTTGAACTTGCAATCCTCCTGCTTCAGCCTCCCTAATCACTGAGATTATAGGCATGCACCACTGCACTAGGCAGCAAATAATATCTTAAAACACTTTTCCTGGGTGTCTCTAGAGCTTTTCCAGAACACCTGAAAGTAGCAATTGTATTTGTTTCCTCTCACACTGTGCTGGGCTCTGTGGCATAGTAATGGTGAGAGCAACCCACACACCAACAACTTCTGTAATAGCTGGCTGCCTCTAGCTCCCCTTCAAGATCTGTATCTTCCAGATGGACATGCACCCATTTAAATGAGAGAAGAAAAATACACTCCACATTTATTTTTATTTTTATTAGAAAAAAAATATTTTTTATTAGAAAAAATAGATTGCACATTCCTTTATTGGCTAATCTTTGGTTTCTTCGCCCAGGTCTCTTTCTCCACACCCATGATTTCATCATTTTATCCTCTCCTTTACCTTCTTACTTTTTTGACCAGTCTGTGAGGCCCAGGGCATCCTTAGCCACTTTCCCAGTTCTGTAGTATATTCCTTTCCCAGGGCTGTGTAACAAAGTATCATAAATTAGGTGGCTTCAGCAATAGAAATTCATTGACTCACAGTTCTGGAGACTAGATGTATGAAATCCAGGAGTTGACAAGGTTGGTTCTTTCACAGAACTGAAAGGAAGAATCTGTTGCAGGTCTTTCTGGATTGCAAATGGTTGTCTTCTCCCTGTGGCTCTTCACATCACCTTGGCTCTACAAAGTATGTCTCAATTTCCCTTTTTATAAGGATATTGCATTAGGGCTCAACCTGATGACCTTGTATTGACTTGATCGTCTCTGTTAAAGATCCTATTTCCAAAATAAAATCACATTCTCAGGCCCTTGAACATATGAATGGGGCGGTGGGGGTACATTTCTTTCCATAACATTCAGGCAGTTGTCTCTGTATCTCTTCCCATTCCATGACACTGAACTGAAACTGGATGCCTCTTCCTGGGCTCTAACTCTTAATACAGGTGATTTATAACTTTAGAGTGGAGAATGCACACAATCTGGAATCAGATCTGAGTTCCTACTCTCTCTGGCAGAAGCTGTTATATGACATTGGACAGCGACTTCATTCCCTAGCGCCTCGGATTTTCCCTCTAGAAATAAAGGAAACAAACTAATCTCAATCTCTCAGGTCTATTCCAGCACTAACACTGAAGAAAAACAAGACAAAACTAAAACCTTTCTTCCTGACATTTTCAAAATGTTTCACAATTTGGAGGATTGTCCTGTGGCCATCAGATAGACTTTGATGGGAGGTTGTATTGCACAGTGGTTAAGAATACAAGCTTTAGGGTTGGGCAAATCTGCATTAATCCCTATTTTATCCTCTGTAAACAGGAATAATACCTACTATAGAACAGTGTCCTAGGGACTGACAGCCCAGGCCTTGAGTTTTCTCATTCAATGAAGGTTCCAGGCTCTATAATTAAATGTTCCATTTTGTGACTTACAGAGAGGGGTACTAAGGATCAAACCCAGTGCCTCACATGTGCTAGGCAAGTGCTCTATCAGTGAGCCACAACCCCAGCTCAGCTGTGATTATTTTTGATCTTCTGCATCTATTGCTTTCAATCCTCATCATCCGAACTCAAGTTACATCATTCAACGCTAGTCAATGTGCTTTGAATGCCAGGTCTTGGCCATTGATGAAAGAGTTGTCATCAGTAAATGATGCTCAACCTGTCTTGAGATACCATGTACAATAGGCATATAATTAATGACCTTCATGAAACGCTTAGTGCCTGGAGGGCAGGCACTGTGTCCCATGAATCCTCATGAACCATCCTACCCCTTCTCACTCCACTGCTAGTCCTAGGATGGTATTTACGTAATAGTACTCAGTGTTTAACTGGACATCTTTCTAACTATACACATGTAATCAGGACTAACCAAGGGTGGATTCAGGGTGTGTGGAACCTAAAGTTTATACAATTTGGGGGAGCTCTTGAAGAAAATTACAAATACGAAACTGAATACAACAATCAATGTTTCTTTTGAATGAGAACAGAAATCTCAGTAAAATATAAATTTTAAAATTTCAGTCTCTCTTGGGCCTCCAGCAGTGGGAAGGAAAAGAATATTGCCCATGATAATTGCACCAAAAATTTCATGAAGTTCAACAAAATAACCTAAAAATTTTAAAAAATTATTCTCTCCTACCAAAATAAGTTTTCCCACTGTTTTGGGCTGTGTACTCATTAGTGGTGTTTGGTATGAGATTTTTAATAAACTTTATTTTTTAGAACAGTTTTCAACTTATGGAAAAATTGCAGCACTCTCACCAACTTCTCAGCCACCTTCCAACACGATTCATGTCTTACATTAGCAGGGTACCTACGATACAATCAGCAAGCCAGTGCTGAATCCATTCATTATTCAGATTTCCTTCATTTTTACCTCTTTCTGTTTCAGGACCCCAACCAAGATACCACACCCCATTTACTTGGTATGTCTCTTATGTCTCCTGAGGCTCTTCTTGGCTGAGGGAGTTTCTTAGATTAACCTTGTTTTTCAGGACCTTGACAGTTTTGAGGAACATTGGTCAGGTATTTTGCAAAACATCCTTCTTTTGGCAGCTGTCAAATGTTTTTCTCTTGATTAGAATGAGATTATGTATTGGGAGCAGGAAAGCGGACATAAGATTTTTTTTTTTTAATTTGGTGGTACTTGGGATTGTCTGTTGATGCTAAGCAAGGCCCTATCACTGAGCTACAACATTGCTGGCCTCATGTAACATTTTTTGGGAGAGGGGTACTGGGATTGAACTCAGGGACACTCAACTACTGAGCCATATCCCCAGCCCTATTTTGTATTTTATTTAGAGACAGTGTTTCACTGAGTTGCTTAGTGCCTCACTTTTACTGAGGCTGGCTTTGAACTCACGATCCTCCTGCCTTAGCCTCCTGAGCTGCTGGGATTATAGGTGTGCACCACCACGCCTGGCCTCATATGACATTTTTAATAACACAATTTGTTATATAAAGAATAGAAAGAAAATCTAGTCTTTCCATCTTTCCCCTAACAAGACTGATGGAATTCCTCGAGATTTTTTTTTTTTTTTAAATGGTACCAGGGATTGAACCCAGAGGAACTTCACAACTGAGCTACATCCCCACCCCTTTTTAGGGTTTATTTTGAAACAGGGTCTCACTAAGTTGCTGAGGGCCTCTATTTATGCAAACTCACTAAGTTGCTGAGACTGGCTTTTGAATTTGTGATCCTTCTACCTCAGCTTCCCTAGTTGCTGGGACTACAGGTATATGCCACCAGGCCTGGACTTCTTAGAATTTTGAGTAGATATTGAAGAAAATGAGGTCCATTGCTTTTTTTTTTTTTTTTTAGAGAGAATTTTAATATTTATTTTTTTAGTTTTAGGCAGACACAACATCTTTGTTTGTATGTGGTGCTGAGGATCGAACAGGGCCGCACACATGCCAGGCGAGCGCTTGAGCCACATCCCCAGCCCATTGCTTTTTATTTTAAATGCATGCCAATTAGAAGAATTTTCTGTGGTAGACCTTCTGACTATTCACATTTCAATCTGCATTCCTCTTCCCTGATCACATAAATTTCCAGGTGCCTTGGGACAGGTTGATTTGGAGACATGAATCTCTGACTTTGAACCTCCTACCAGTAGGCTAGGTAAGTTGGCCCAGCAGGTGAGGTCCTCCTGACAGCATCCCTGCTGATGCAAATTCCATGAATGTTGTTCCCAAACCCAAAGGAACATATACAACCAACACCAGTTCCCCTTAGCTGGGTTCCAAAAATGACCTTGGCACTACTGAGCAAGAGGGTAGTGACAGAAGAGACGGAATAGAGTGATGGCTGAACCAACTGGTAGTAGCTAAATTATCTTTTGCAAAGACTAGAGGAACATTTAACTATGAGAGCATGTTGCTAGGATCCCTCCCTAAATTTCATGGGGTTGCTGTAAGTGATTGGCTCTGAAAATTAAACCATTAGCCTAAAAGTCAACCTAGTCCAGTTGGAAATCTTTTGGTACTGTCACTATGCCCCTGTTTGGATTTGCAAGCTCAACTGTCTTGGGCATCCAGCAGTGGGGAAGAAGGGTGTTTCTGCCAAACCAACACTGTTCTGTAACTACTGATAACTATCACACGGTCTTCAATGGCCCTAATTAAGCCATAGTCCTCTCCTTACCCATACTCCTTGTAATTTTTAAATATAATTGAGCCACTGGCTTCATTCACTTTATGAGGAAGAGCTAGTCTGCAGAGACCCAGGCAGTAACTGTCCTGGGTATTTCTCTCCTCCTTCTGGGTCACAGTCCACCAGCTGCTCAGCCCCGCTGTTCAGGCCCTTTCCTGCCATTGAAGTTCTGCCCAACCTGGAGCCATCAAAGAGGCCAGTGCTTCCAGACCCCACCCTCCACCCCACACTATTTCCTTTCTGTTTCTTGATATGAGCATTTTAATTGGTCAACATCAAGAGTTTATTTATTCCTCCATCTCCCTAACTCACTTGGCTTCTGATTCTCAAATGGTAGAATTCAAACTCTTTTCAACGTCTCCTAAGTTGACCTACAGAACTTGTACCTGCTTTCCTCATCAACCAGTTTGTCTGTTACCTTCTCCAGCTAGATGGAACTATCTGAAGGTTAAGGGCCAAAAGTATGGCGTCAGATTGCTTGGATTCAAGTTCCATTACTTACTAATTAAAGACTTAAGGCAAGTAACTCTCAGATCCCTAGCTTTTTAAACTGCCGAATATGAAAGTGCATTGCATCAGATCTGAAACCTAAATCAATTAAAAGATTCACTATTATTTTATGAATCCCTAAGGAAAAAAAATGCTGCTCATCTTAATTGCAAGACACCATCATCAGTTAGCTTTTACTGTATAAAATAACAAGTCACACCAAAATGGAGCAGCTTAAAACAACATACATTTATGAGCTCCTTATCTTGGTGGTTAGCTCTGGGGCTGGGTGCAGCTCCATGATTGCTCTGCTGGTATCTCCTGGGCTCTCTCCTGCAGATACTATCAAATGGTGGATCATCTAGGATTAGATATTCTGGGACGGTCTCTCTCACAGGTGTGATGGTTGGTTATTAAGGTTCCTCAGTTGTCTGCATGACCACTCACTCCATCAAACTAATCCACGCATGTTCAAATGTGATCTCAGGTTCCGAACACATCACAGGGGATAAGCCTCAATGTACAACTGCCTTTCAAACCTCTATTTCTTGTTTGCTCCATTTCCATTGACCAAAACAAGTAACGTGTCGTGTCAAAAATCAGTATGAGAAAGCACTATCCAAGCACATGGATACAAGGAAGGGGAATTGTGGTGGCCACTTTGCAAACAATCCACCACACATCCTGATTCCATAGATATTAAAGTCCGAAAAAAAGTGTGTACCTAAGAACACATAAAATGTAGTAACAGTGCCTACTCAGAGGCTTGCCCTGTGAGATAATGTCTATATGGTATTTAGAACAATGCTTAGTCCCTGGTGAATGCTCTATAAATACTATTACTATTATTCTTGCTTCTCTTTGGGTAGCCTTTAAGTCTATGCATCTTTCTGCCTGAAACCTGGTAAACCTAACTTAGATATTCCTTCCCCCAGAATATGTACGCACAGTTTGTTATTCCCAGAGCTATGTCAGCATTTGCTTTGGCAGGTTGTAATTTCCATTCTTGTAACATCATGGGCCTGGCAGAAATTCTGAGTCTAGACCTCTTCTGCCCCCAAGCCAATCCAGTGCCTGAAGTTTGCTATATGTTTATTTAATTGAACTGCCAAGTCACCTCCAATAGAACTGCTTCTCATTCCCTTAGGTATAATCTCTCTCCCTTCTGGCAGTACACCTGCAGCTCTTTATCACGTGTCTGGTGTCGTACTTGTCACACTGACTTGCGATTACAGGTTTGTGTAATATGCCTTGTGTAATAGAATATACCTTACTCCACTCTGTCACACGGAGCTCCCTGCCACCCTGCTACTATAGCAGTGTATACTGTTCAAACACCTGTTAAATGAAAAAAAAAAAAAAAACAAACCAGAGTTTCCAATCTCTATGTTACTTCCAAGAAGGCTGTAACCAAAAATCCAGAGTAGAATTAGATTTACCACTTAATCCATCTATGGATGTTTTCCTACTCCGTTCCTAGGGTTTGAGCTCCACTGGTTTCTCTCTTATTCAGATCACAACACAACATGGGCTTCATGTCCAGGTGTGTGAGGTCCGATTCCGGTCCCTATGGCCACTCTAACATCCCTGCCCAACACACACACACACACACACACAGACACACACACAGACACACACACACACACAGTTCTCCAAGTAGAACATGGAAAATGGTTGGGACTGTGTCAGGTCGTTCGTCACTCCTTGCAGGGAGGGCATCAGTACCTCCTGGAGTCAGTATATCAGCTTGGAGGGATGTTGAATCTGAGTGATTCGAGCAACCACCACCTTCTTCCACCTCGACTCTTACCTTCTTCTCCAGTGTAACGGGCAAATGCCAGTCCACATCTGCCTGCGACCAGAAGCTCACATCTTTGCCTTGTGAAGGTCTTGAACAACCTTGGGAATCTGATGAAAGGTATAGATCTTCACCTCATAAACATTTCCCATTGTGCATTATGTGGATTTCTTAGGGTCCCTAGTTACGATTCCCGGGTAAAATGGAAAGAGTACTAGATTTGTGATTAAAAAGATCTAAGTTCAAAGCCTGTTGCTACCTCTTCCTAGTTCTGTGACTGATCTCGTTGAACCTCACTTTTCACATCTGAAAAGTCAGATGTAATAGCTAGCACTTCAGGTTGTAAGGGGTCTGCCACATCATAGCTCCTTTATTCTAATTCCCCATCCTTGCCTCCCAGATGTGTTGTATAGAGCTGGCAGTATGGTACGTGTAGTCAGTGATGGAGTGGAATTTCATTCTAAGTTTAGGTCTTCATGTATTTGCTAAAAAATATTTATTGAGCATTTACTATGTACTAGCCACAATGGTAGGTGCTGGGGTGTACAGGTTTCTGTGTGTGTGTGTGTGTGTGTGTGTGTGTGTGTGTGCGTGCGCGCACATGCATGCATGCGTGCATGCATGTGTATGTGTGTAGTGGGCCCTGATCATGAAAGGTGTGCAAAGTTGAATAAATATGGGACCTCAAAAAGCTCCTAGTCTGATGACCTAGTGCCAGTCTATCCCTACAATGCAATATCTTCTAAAGTTTTTAGCACAAAACATTTTATCTAATTAATCTACTAAAGAGTTATTGTATTATTGATTCCTTCAATACCTTGGTCTTTCTGATCAAAGTCTGACCCTTGTGTGGAACCTATATATCTCTGTGCATAGACATTCTCTTCCTTGACTGTTAAATTTCAATCCAAGAATCCTCATCAAGAGTATTCTTGGGTAGTGAAAATTGAGTGAGGTGTTTTAGGCCTGAATATATTGAATACATGGTTTTGGATAATTCAATGAGGTAAATATCATCAATGTTGTCACTGACTGGGTAAAATTGATGATAATATTGTACTCTGCAAAGCTAGAGTTTATTAAAATGCATTTTGTGGGCACTGATTTTTATGTCTGACAGAAAATACCTATTTTTTAATACTCACCAGGCTATTCTTTAATATAGCTCTCCATTCTAAATGCAGGCAGCTTATGGTGTTCTGGACATTTGGACTCACTATTGAAAATGTCTGGATGTCTCTGCTTTCAGGGTATCTTCTTCAAGTCAATCAATCTAGCAGCCTGGCAGTATACTTCAGGTATATGAGGCTTGTACTTTGCCCAAAAACCTGGCTTTCTGGTAATAATCTGGAGAGACTAGATTTAGATAATTGTAATTTTCTGAAATCTCTGTCTCACTGGTGTTGTTCCTACTGAAGTGCCACATGCCAAAGTTCCCATAATTTGCATATTAAGTAGTAATACTGCAGTGACCTAGTCTAAACCTTAGGTTAATTTTTCTGCCTTAAATTTGCCTCCTTTTCAAGTGTGTTCATCTGTACTATCAACTCATTAGCCAAGCACCTACTATTTTGCACAGTGCTGTTGAGTGTAAAATAGCTGGCTTCTTGATTATAAGCAACAGAAATCAGCTATGACTGTTTTGAGTAGATCCAGAATTCATTGGAAGGAAACTGGAGAATTTTAGAGTGTGAAATATCTGATCTGGCTCCAGAGCCAAGAAGCAGGAAAAAACCACAGCTCTCTTTTAATCAGGATGTTGCCAGTGAAACTGTAATAACTGCCACGGGGCTGGATACAGCTGGACGCTGTTGCCACAAGCAGATTCCAGCCCTCCCTCATCTCTGTTACTGTCATTCAGGTAAGAGCTTCCGGTTTTCTGTCTTTGGTCCTGTGCCTGTGCCCTCGCTGCTGTGAGTAGAGATAGAGAAAGGGAAACTGTTTTGTCACCTGCAGTTGCAAATGGGGCAATGCAAATTTAACCCCAGGCAGGAAGGGGTTAAATCCTTGACAGTAATAACTGACAGTGGTCACCACATTCTGGACAATAAGACAAGTGCTAGAATTGGAATTGCTTGGGGGAGAGGGATTATTTGCTTCTTGGGGACTTGGTGTGGGGGAATAGCAAACTCTTCTGGTCCACTAAACTTTTGCTTGAGTTGTTTGCTTGCCTAAGTTCACCCTTGATCTCATCTCTCATATCTAAGTCTTCATTGGCCCTTAAGGCACGGCTCAACTACCAGATCCTTCAGAAAATTTCTGATAACCCAGACTGGAAGCAATCCCTGCTACTCTACATCACTTATCCATTCACTTATCCATCTATCTATCCAGTTAGCCATCCTTCTATCCTTGCATCACATTCAGCAATTTTCCCCCTCTGATGGGTAGCAGGCCTGTCTTAGGCCCTGTTTGGCAGCAGTGGACAGAACACTACTTTTGAGTAAGTCAGTAGTGAAGTTAGCCAAGATTAGTCAACCAATGAAATATTGAAAAGTATTGCAATCAATCATTTTTTTTAAAATCAGGTGTTTGCTGTTTGCTTAATGCTATATGAAGCACAGTAGATAAGGACAAAAAATGAAATATCAAATCCTGACTTTAGGACTAGGGGCATCACTCAGTGGCAGAGGGTGTGCTTAGCATGCACTAGGCCCTGGGTTTGATGCCCAGGGCCACCAAAAACAAACAAACACACGCCCTGACTTTCAGCATGGCACCCACTTTACAAATAGTTTATGAACAATTTTTTAGTGTAAAGAATAGATTTTAAATTATATTAAAGATTATATTAAAGATTTAATATAAAACTTGAAACTCAGTTGAGCAATTTGACATGACAACAGTAAAGTAATAATCTGATTTTCCTCTATACAACTGTCACATAAGAAAATAAATCCCTCAAATAGTAAATTTCTATATAGATGAATTAATCAGAAATATTGCAAGGCTATCTATCTAATAATTAGACTCTGTGGGAGAATCCTCCTCAAGTTGTGTTTATATCTATATCTAATTGTGGGGATAAGATTTACACAAATAAAAAGATAACTGCATTAAAAAATAAGACTGGAGGATAGGAATCGGATAATTGATGTGGAGAGGGTAAATGATGTGAATTCAAAGAAGCATCAAGGAGGGAGGCTCTGAATTGACATTTTTGAGATGAACAAAATTCAAATGAAGTCAGGAGGAGAAGGAGTGCCATGCTGTGGAAATCATGGAGTAGAGGTCTGTCTGGGAGCTGGTAAAGTATTCAAAATCATACAGCAGAGTGGAGATCATTCACACTTTAGGAGTTACCAGTCTGTTTTGTTCATCCCAGCACAGAGCATATGGCCTAATGTTAGTATTGGACAAATGCACTTTTTGTTTTTGGTACCAAGGATTGAATCCAGTGGTGCTTACAAACTGAGCCACATCCTGAGCCCTTTTTATGTTTCATTTTGAGACAAGGGTTTTGCTAAGTTGCTAAGGGCTTTGCTAAGTTGCTGAGCCTGGCTTTGAACTCGCTATTCTCGTACCTCAGCCTCCTGAGCTGCTAGGATTATAGATGTGCACCACTATGCCCAGTGGACAAGCACATTTTTAAAAAAGAATGAGGGCTCAGTCGTAGAATGCTTACTTAGCAAGCGTGAGGCCCTGGGTTTGATCCCCAGTATCACAAAATAAATCAAACAGATAAATAAAATATGAATGAATAAGCTACAGGGAGCTGCTGCCCAGGCTTATTGGGGAGCATGACTTAAAGAAAATTGTGCTTTGGAAGATTGACCTGGTAGCATCGAGCATGATGGGTAGACTCAATAGGAAGAGAGTGAAGAAAGGACCTGTCCTGGGAAACCTGTGATCCTGTGGAAGTACGGAGTTATGGGTCAGCTCCAGATGGTGCTCCCAGGACTAGAAACCTTTGAAGGAATGCACAAGAGCTGGGAGAAGGGAAAATTGTTTTAGGAGAAGGGAAAATTTAGGGGCAGGAAGAGGGAAGAGCATGAAGATGTTGGGCCCCAAGTCCGATTGCAGAGATGAGCTTCAGGGGTCCCTGCTCTCCTGTCATGGAAGGGAGAGTGCATAAGTTCCACGTATAAGATTCAGGTTCTGAGCGTCTCCTTTCTGGTAAGCTAAGTCCATTTTCCCTGCAGTTCTATAGCAACAGGAGTCCATTAAATAACTGAATCAGCAAAATATACCTGTGACTTAGTTCCATAATACTTGACTTCCTTGTTTCTCTGTGATCACGCAAATGAAGACTGTTTTTCATATTTTGTGTCATCCAATTAAGGGTGAGGGTTATGCTTCACTTGCATCTGAGCTGGGGAACACCCTTAGTGAAGTCCCCAAAAGCTGGCAGAAAGGGTTCTGGGGTGAAGAGTGATGCCCACTCCTGGGGAAGAGTAGGGTCCAAGCTCAGCCTCCCTGTCTCTGGACCCTACATCCATGGAGAACTTTATAAATGGAGCAGATTTATAAATGAAAACTTGCCCGAGGGCAGGTGTGTACTTAGATGAATGCCCCTAGCTGTTTCCATATTGCAGTTTATATACTCTATATTAAAGTACATTTGTTCAATAAAGATAAAAATCATCATCTCATAGTGAAATGCATCAGGCTTACTTTTATTTATTTATTAGTCTTTATCAGAAGGGTCATAATGGTCATAATAACAGAAATTCTGAAGACAATGTCAGTAATACCTGGATAGTTATGATAGCTGCACAAGAGCAAGATGAAGGCGGTTTATACTGAGGATGGCTGTAGTAGTCATAGTGGAGAAAATGCACATATCTAGACAATATTTTTCCATAGAATCAATAAAACTTTCTTGATTGGGTCGGGGTTGGGCGATGGCTCTAATGGCAGGAAAAGAGTAGGGAAACAGAGGATTCAAGATTGATATCTAGGATTTTACTCTTTTCAAGTAGATCAGGTGCCATTTATTAAGAGAAGAAAGATTTGGGCAGAAACTACTTTGGGGGAAAAATAAAGAATTCTTCTCTGGAAATGTTAATTTGGATGTCTGCTCCCCATCTAAGTGGAATTTGCATGCAGACAGTGATCTATGCCCTGGGGAGGTCAGGGCTTGAGATTCTAATTTGGGAGATAGATTTTGCAAATCTCCTCTCAGACATTAGGTGAAGATAAGGAAGGTGTAGAACTGATGCTCAAGAGAAATTCGTAACTAATGTCCATTTATTTATTCATATTTTCATTCATTCCTGGAAAGAGATAGGCACTGTGCTGAATTCTATGAACTGAATCAACAAAAACAGACCGTCCCTGCGCTCACTGAGTTTGACATCTAGACATCTGTGCAGTAGAAAGTGAGTCTCCTGTGTAAGTTAAAATTTTCTAGTAGCCACGTTTTTTTAAAAAAAAAGTGTGGTTTAATTTGAATTGTTTACTTATCTAATCCAATATATCCAAAATCAGTATATTTCATCAACACAAAAGCTATTCCTGAGATAGTTTGTGTTCTTTTTTGTCATGTTCTCTCAAAATCCATTGTGTACCTTACACATCCAGCCTTTCTTGGTTCAGATTAGTCACCTTCTAAGTGCTCAGCGGCCTCATGTGGCTCTTGGACAGCACCGATTTAGAGGGTATTGTAACTTTGCTCATTGATGTCTAAATTCCCCTCCTTCTCCAGACATTGGGGGACTGTTTGGTGCCCCCAGATCTGTAAATCAGTTCATACTGCCTGAGGGCCAGCAATGGTGTTTGAGGACACGGACGCCATTATAACACATATCTGTATCCGACAGTCCCTAGCCACAATGGACTAACCAGTGACCCATGGGAAGATTAATGCTGTGTGTTTTAAAAGTGGGAGCATTGTTGTTGTACTAAGTATTTGTTCGCAGTGTAAAAAATTATATACATACACACATACATATATACACTTTGTAAAAGCTGTGTCAATCCTGCAGTCTCCCCTGTTTCCCTGATACTTGGTGGTGACTCTGTAATGCTGCATTTCTTCTCTGCATCCCACCATCCAGGCACAATAGAGCTCGGAAAGTGTTTGGTGGATGAACAAACATAGGAATGGCAGGCCTGCTCCATGATTCGGGGTGAAGAGTGTGTGGGATTATGTCTTTGACATTGTTACATCTAATCTAATGCTTTCTCTGACCTCTCCCTGTCAGGAGGAATCAACATGGATGTTTCTTTCATTAACAAGTATCATGGTGAGTTGTCTCTTCCTGAGTTTGACATCTAGATTTTTTTGAAGGTCAAAAAAATCAGGTCTCAAGGACAAACCTAAGAGGGTGCAGAAAGTCCAACAGGAATACCTTGTCTTCCACAGTGAGATGGGCTTTAAGAGGGGTACCACTGCTTAGGAACAACCACTTCTTCATGGCCATTTCATGGTGGCTGCCCATGAATCAGTTTCCCTGCCTAAACTGCTCCTTGGCCAAGGATAGATTCAGGCTAGGATTGGCATGCATGCTGAGGTTTGCCCAATTTTTCTATCTTTTTCTTTCTTGGTTTATTTGCTCCTTTTCTAGAGTCTGAGTACTCCCTTTTGGCTCCTGCAGCTGCAGATATCCCCTGCAGGAACATCAGCTCTCCAGGATTGGATGGCTGTGGTCATCTATTCTTCTAGGAAGCAGCAGCCCAGATCCTGAGTGAAGGAGAGGAAGGTGGATGGAATGGAAGCTTCTTCAGCTCTTGTGCAGTCTAAGACAAGTTCAGCAAGGTGGATGGTGAGTCCTGAGACAAAGTCAGTCCCATGTCTCTCAGGGGTAGGTGGGAGTTCTTGAGGGTGCCTTCTCATGTCTGTTGCTCAGGCATGTATCCAAGTTGTCTCATGGGCAAGCTGTGTGGGTCCTGCTTGGTGCAAACATACAGCAAGTACCGCATGTCATGGTAGAATGTGCCCTGGAATTGGCATGGAGATTCTGGGCTCCACCCCTCATCTGTCACTTAGTTCTGTGATCTTAAGTGAGTCACTAAAGTCTTAGTCTATTTTCTGTTGTTATAACTGAATGTCACAGACTAAGTAATTTACGCTTACGGTTGGAGGCTGGGAAGTCAGGGGCTGCCTCTGGCAAAGGCCTTCCAGCTGGTGGGAACTCTGCAGAGTCTAGAGGTGGCACAGAGAATCACATGGTGGGAGAGGTGTGTACAACAGACAAAGTTCAACTGGCTATTAGGACAGAGAGAGAGAACTCATTAAATCATTAATCCAATAATCCATGAATGGATTAATCTCTTCATAAGAGAAGAGCCCTCATGACATAATTTACCTCTTTTTTGTTGTTGTTTTATTGCCAAACATTTTTATTGTTGAAAAATTGTGAAACATTTCAATCTACAAAAAAACGCAGAAGTTAATATAAATACCATAGTACCCACTAACAAGCCTTAGTGTTTCAACATTTGCCATGTTTGTGTCAGTTCTCCATTCTTATGAAAAAAATCAAATATTACAGATATAATTGAAGCCACATGTGTATTCCCCTTCACAGTCTCATTTTCTTCCCTAAATTTGGTGTTTTTCACTCATGCATTTTTTTGTGTGTTTTCACTGCATAACTATATGAACAACATGTAGTGTTGTCTTGCATGTTTTTAACCTATTCAAGTTCTTTTGCAATTTGCTTTTTGTCATCTTTATTAATACACAGTTCATTGTAACTGCTTTATCATATTTAATAATTTGAATATACCCCAACTTTCTTATCCATTCTCTTGATGAACATTTAATTTATTTTGCTAGTACAAGCAACACTTTATTAAACATTTCTATTTCTGTCTCCTTCATACATGTGGGAGTTTCTCCTGGCTTTGTGACTATAAGACAGACTTCTAGAAATTGGAATATTCACTTTTTCAACCTTGTTAGAAATTGCCAAATTATTCTTTATCCTGGTTTTATCAATGACATAATTCTGGATCCAGCTCTAACTACTTCACAGTGGGGATTAAATTTTAACATGAGTTTTGGTGGGGACATTAAACCAAAGCATGAAAACTCTCAGAAACTTGCTTTCTTTTTTCTTCCTTTTTTGATACAGGGGATTGAACCAGGGTTGCCTTACCATTGAGCTACATACCTAGACCTTTTTTTTTTTTTTTTTTTTTTTTTTTTTTTTGAGACAGGATCTTGCTCTGTTGCTGAGGCTGGCCTACAACTCTCCATCCTCCTGCCTCGTGAGTCTATGGGATTACAGGCATGTGCCACTGTGTCCAGGTCAGATCCTTGCTTTCTTGGTCCTGAAATAGTATCTATCTTATAGTGTTGTGTAGAATGAAATGAAATTTTGTGATAGTGTGTTATACAACGTTAACAGGAGTGCTCATGTAATAAAAACCAACAAAGCACAATTATTAAAGATGAATTACAGGAATTCTGTTTGGTTTTTTTTGTGTGTGTGTGTGTGTGTGTTTTTTGTTTTTTGCCGTGAAGAGGGTCTGTAGCAATGATAGAGATTTATCCATCTTGTGGTTATATATTTGTATTATCCTGCAGGCTATTCTAGTTTTACATGATCTTAGTTATTTAGGATATCAGTGGTCTGAGCAGATATTTATAAAAATTAAAAATGCATAAGGGTCAGAGAGATAATGTTTCAGAATAGCCGCTGCAGCTCATTAATACTATACAGGTGGTGGCCATGTGTGGCAAGTCAGCAAAGGGGCTTTCTCCATTTGCCCCTGCTCCTTTGCTTTTTTGCTTCTAAGATGAGGAAGACACTGATGCTGTTTCAGTTCAAGAACATTTCTCTGACTTAATTCTAGGTAAGTATGGAGATATGCAAGGCCGCGGAACAGCCTCGTTAGGGGGTATGGGGTGAGGTCTCAGGCATCAGCAGTGCCTTGAGACCTCATCCAGAGGTAGCTCTCAGGGCAGATTCATTCATCTTGTGATGGATTCCAGAAGATGTGGGGAGCAAAACTGGAAAGATGCCATGGGTTTAATCTTGAAAAATTCAGAACTGGGTTGCTTCTATGCTGAAAAAAAAAAAGATATATTAAGCAAATGAGCTTGAGTTAGAATCTCAGCACAGCCTTGAGGCTGGACCGGTAGGAACCGGGTAGCCAAGGGTGGAGGCTGCATAGACACAGTGATTCACAATGGTAATAATCTACTCGACGGTGAGGAAACACATCACCCCATCTGAAGACACCTCCAGACGGCAGACTGTCCAACCAGGCTACTGGCCTCCCTGCTGATCCTGGTGAAGTGTTTCATTGGTTTTCGCCACCACCCAAGGATGTAAAGAGGCAGGGATTTCTCCTTCAAACAGCCCCAGAGTTGTGGCTCCCATGGCTTTTCTTTCCTTCTGGCTATGCCACTTGTCCACTGGATGGTAGTGCAGCAACCATGGACACTTCAAAGGGCACGTGACAACAGCACAAGGAAAAAAAATGAACACCGACAGAGGGGTCTGGCCTCTCCAGGGCTCCTGAAAGTGTGGTCCACAGAGTACTGCATTAGAGTTGCTTTAGAGCTCATTAAGAAGGACACATCTTGGGCTAGGGATGTATTTAGCTCAGTGGTAGAGTGCTTGCCTGGCATGCTCAAAGACCTGGGCATGATCCCCAGCATTATCCCCACCAAAACAAAAAATCCTGAGGAGGATTATTGCACAGAAGCACAGTAGAGTGACTACAAATAACAATATATTTTATATTGCAAAATAGCTAGAAAAAAAGACTTTTAATGTTTTCACCACAAAGGAACCATTAATGTTTAGGGGTAGATGTGGTTATCCTGATTTGAATAATGTACAATGTCTCCATGTATTGAAACATCACATGGTACTCTATAAATGCATAAATTGTTACGTCAATTTAAAAATCTTTTATATATTTTTAAAAAAGAAGACTTCATCAGCCCCACTCAGACCTGCTTATACAAAACACCCAGGGTGGAATCCAGACATCAGTGTTCCCTCCTGTCCAATTTTCCTTCCAGTGAATCTTTTTCTTAAAATTTTTTGTAGTTATAGATGGACATAATACCTTCATTTATTTTTATGTGATGCTAAAAATCAAACCTAGTGCCTCACACATGCTAGGCAAGTGCTCTACTACTGACCTACATCCCCAGCCCCTTCGGGTGATTCTTTTGTACATAAAAATGTGAGAACCAATCAGATGATTCCTAACCTCTCTGGTTAGAAGGTGCTGTGACTTCAAGATCCCAGTTTAAGAAAACCTTTATAGTTTTAAAGATTTAAGCTCCCTTTTTATCCCTGAGTGTTCTCTGTGGACCTTGTCTTTTATTAGTCAGACTACTAGTTTTTAAGCCTCAACAAATTATTTGTAAAACAATGTATGGAGCTTATTTCTTGCAAGGTTCTATGTTTTGCATGGGAGGAGAGGTCACTTAGGAAAACATACGAGGTGCGCTGCTCTGGAGGGACTTCTGGGCCAGTAGGGGAGTCGGGAATGTGTGGAACAAACTTTGCTGAAAAGCAGAGGGAACTCACAGAATGGATCATTCGGGAGACTTCCTTTCTGAAGGGTCAGTACTTGGTGTTCCCAGATAAATATATTGTGTATCAATCCTGATAATAAGCACCATGAGTGATAGAAACAAAGCCCTCCAAGATTTCAGAGGAGAAAGACATCAAAACCAGTTGGAGCAAGTAAGGGAACTTCATAGAGGAAGCGGCATTTGAGGAAGTCCTTAGGATTTCAAGGGGAAGAAGGCATTTTGGTGGAAGAAATGGCTTGAGAAAAGGCATAAGGATGGACAATTGCAAAGTTTCCATGCAATGACAGAATGGGGAGAAGATCAGTTTGGAGTGAGAAGAGAGAGGTTTAATGGAAAGATGGATGGTGTATCAGTCAGCCATTGCTGTGTAACAAACTACTCCAAATTCTAAAGCTTAGAACAACAATCATTTATTTTGCTTATGAATCTACAGCTTGTCATTGTTGCCTTCTGTACCAGTTTAAATACCAGCTTAAATGGGACTAGAGAACCACATTCAAGATGGCTTCCTCAGGTGGCTGGAAGTTGGAGGTGGTTCTTTGTTCTTCCTTATGTGAGCTTCTTGATAGCTCAGACTTTCTCACAGCAGTGGGTTTCAAGATAAAGTGTCCCAAGAGAGCCAGGTAAAAGATTTTTTGCTATTTATAACCTAGCATTGGAAGTTATATCACTTTGCTCTGGTCACAAACCTACCAAAATTTAAATAAGAGGGAGCAGAAACACTATGTTAAGCATGTCAAAATAATAATTATAATTGTATATTGTATACAATTGTATAATTGTAATGACAGAAATACTTGTGAAATGCAATAAATAATAATATTAAATGTTTTTTTTTAAATATGCAGGATGGGGCTGGGATTGTGGCCCAGTGGTAGAGCACTTGCCTAGCATGTGTGAGGCACTAGGTTCGATTGTCAGCACCACATAAAAATAAATAAATATCTATCAACAACTAAAAATAAAAAACATTGAAAATATGCAGGATGTCATGATATAGCACAACACCTTTAAAATTGACAAAGCAAATAACCTGATTTTGAAAATAAGGAAACCAAACTCAGAGGCATGGAGAAGAATGGATTTGCAATGAATTTAATAAGACTTTAGTTTCAGAGTCTCTCAATAGCACTGACACCTTCTTCCAGGACACTAGACGGAATTTAGAATTGTGGTCATAGCCACATGTTTCGTAGATTTTCATAGGTAAGATACATTAACTATAATTGGTATCTTTTTACTTCACCCTCCCTTCTATTGCATTTATCTTTTATCAGATGTCATAGGAGTTGTTATGGGCATTTTGGAGATCCAGTTAAGGAAAAATTAAGTTATGGATACACTTAGTTTTGGTGGTATGGAAAAAAACGGATGTGATTTTTCAGTAACTTCAACATGCAGTTATTATTGGGGATTCCAGTAATAATTTCCAGGAATACACCTATGCTTATGGGCTGACTCATTGGCATTATGTTACTAAAGTTGAGGATCTGGAGTCATACTGTTATACTCTGTGTCCTATAGTATACAGAACTAGAATGAAGATATATGAATACTGAAGGAAAAATAAGGTTTAAAATGTACATAGTCAGAAATTAGTTTATGAAGAATTCTTTCAATCAGCAGACATGTAAAATTATAAGAATGATACTATTTTGCATAATTTTGGTTTTAAAAGTTTTTTTAATGTTTCACATATTCAAAGAACAAACTTAAAATGAATGAGGTTCAGCAAAATTGTAGAATATAAGACCAATATACAAAAAAATCAATTTCATGTAGTAATGATTAAACCAAAAATGAAACTAAAAATTTTTTTCACTTATAGCAAACAAGTAAAATACTTATAAATAAATTTAAAAGAAGTGCAAAACTTATACCCTAAAAACATTGTTGAAAGAAATGAAAGAACCAAATAAATAGAAAGGTATCTTATGCTCATGGATTGGAGAAAATTAATGATGTTAAAATGTCAATATTTCCCCAGATGATTCTACAGATTCAGCTCAATTCTGTAAAAATCCCAGCTGAGATTAACAGCCTGATCCTAAAATTTATATGGAAATTCAAGAAACCTAGGATGACCAAAATTATCTTGATAAAGCAGAACAAAGTTGTGGTACTCCCATTTCCTAGATTCAAAATCTACGTATGTAGTTACAGTTGTCAAGACAATGTGGTCTAAAGATAGCCAAAAGATCAATGGAAGATAATCAAAAATCTAGAAATAAACACTCACATAAACAGTAAATTTTATTTTTACAAGAATACCCAAACCATTCAGTAGGTAAAGGAATGGTTCTGTGACAGCTGAATATCTATATGTAAAAATGAATTTTGACTCCTACTTCACTTTTTATTCAAAAAATTAACTAAAGACTTACATAAGAGCTAAATATATAAAACTCTTAGAAGAACAGATGGGTTTAAATAATCTCGACCTTGGTTTCTTAGATGGGACACCAAAGGCCAGCAACAAATGGAAAAATAGATAAATTGGACATGACCACAGTTAATTTTTTTCTGCTTCAAAGAGCACCTTTAAGAAAATTAAGACAGCAAATGAAACAGTAGAACATTTTTGTAAAACATATATCTGATAAGGGATTTGTATCTAGAATAAATAAGGAATTGTTACAACCCTACAATAAAAATGGACAAAGGATCTGAATAGATAATTCTTCAAAGAAGATGTATAAATGGCCCACAAAAAGGTGCTCTAACCATTAGCCACGAGTGAAATGTAAATCAAAGTCACAATGAGATATTACTAGCTATATATTAAAAGAACAAATAATAATAGTGTCTGTGAGAATGTGGAGAAATTGGAGCTTCCAGACACTGCTGGTAAAAATGTAAAATGGTGAAATATTTTTAGAAAAGGGTAACTGTTCTTTCAAATGG